ACTTTAAATTTGACTATCATCTGCATAGCAATGCAAAAAAAAAAAATCCCATGTTTTCCAAGTATGGATCCGAGCGGGACCTAATAAAGAGAGAACAGGATAGGACCTAGGATGGAGCCCTGGGGAACCCCACATGAGAGAGGAGCAGAGGAGGAATTTTTAGAATTGTACTGAATTATGCATGATAAAAGACACTCTGGGGTTTTTTTTTCTTCTATGAACATCCTGTTAATAACAGTCCATTAACTTGGTAAGTTTACAGTAAATTATAATCTTTCAATCTAAAACATATAAAAGCACTGAATGTTGGAAAACTGTAAATCATATACTAGTCTTATGTTTACATTTTATCACTGCTTCACTTAAGAGCTGCACTGAATGGAATTTCATTTTGTTGACACTCTGTTTGTATAAAATGACAATAAAGTCTTTCTAAGTCTATCTCTAAGTCATAAGCAGTTTATGAGCAGGTATAGAAAGAAGCAAAAATGTATTGATCCTAAAACAATTTTAACAAATTCTGCACATTAATGGAAAGTATTCAACAGTTAGACACATTGTCAACAGCAAAATATACAACAAATCATTATCAATTCTATCATCACCAAAATTATTCCTTATTTAAATTTCTACCTAAAAATCATTGTTCTCTTAAAGCAGTTCTAACATGTGGTTTATAAACATACTTATTCCCCTTAAATTATTTTTAGTTTCTCATGGATTAAACAAATATAAAACTTGATGAATTATGTTTAATTTGATGCAGGGACTTAGCTGTAAACAAGTCATAGGTATTCTAAAATTTCAATTGAAGAAATAATTGATTATTATATGAATCCTATGCTGCATATTTAAGCCATCATATAGCCTCATTTTGTAATAAAAAACTGACTTAATACTAGTTTTATATGTATTACCCTAAATCAAGTAATTTGAGTTAAAAATGTATTGCAAACCATATAACATGTAACCAATGCATGCAAAGATATATTCAAAATGATTATGTAATCTCAATGTATCATGTGTTAAAGTCATGTTTCACAAAGTGGAACAACTAAATAACTGAACTAAAATGAGTAAATGAAACGGAGTATCTTTTGGAGAGGTCAGTTTCAACAAACCTCCTGTATGGAAAAGTTAATCACATCTCATGCTAAAGGTGTAGTTTTGACATTTTAAAGCAGGGGGTTTCAAACCTAAGTTGTTGAGCAGTAATGCCTTGTAACATTTAGATCTGTCTCTAGAGTTTCAAACCTGAATTACATAGCTAGATTTCTACCTTTGTTAGGAATCCAGTTTGTGCAGTCTGTTTGTGTCTCCGTTTTCCACCACCAGGAGGTGCCCTGTCCTTGCTGTCGTTGGATCATTATCTGGAGGAGTATTTGAGCAGTGGACTGTCACTACCTCGGCGCCAGAGTGCTTTGCCAGTTTTGGGTACTTTAGCCAAGCTGAGTTTAGTTGAGTCAAACCTAGCTTTGTTTCTCTGAGTCTAACGAGTTTTTGTCTTTACACAGGAAGTAACACAGGAAGCTTTGCTGTGTTACTGGATTCCTCCACCTTCTCTCCCCTGGAAGGAAAAAAACGGAGTTTCACTGAGCAGGGGTAAACCTCTGAGTGACAGTCCTCTCCATTACTCCTCTGGGTCCAATGCTTGTCAAACCTGTCCGCCCTCCAATGTTTGCACCCTTCTCTGGATTTACCACACAGTCTGGATTCAAGGACTAACAAGGCCCCCCTCAATGTAAGTTCTCTATGTTGCAAAATCTCAGAGCTTCCAAGAATCCCACGGAACCTGAACTAACCACTGAACTTCCCTTCTCACTTCCAGTTACGGGTGATCAGCTCTCTGAGTACCAGATCCTACTCCCTTACTCCTTGAATAAACCTGTTAAACTTGTTCTCTGAGTGGTTATCTCTGCATGTGGGTCAGATTCGTAAACTGATCCTAGCAACCTTATGTAATATTTAGGCTCTATGAATCTTAGATAATTGACCTTATTGGTTGAGTCAGGTTTGTTAAAACAGATTCATCAGAAAATTGCAGAAACTCTGCACCATGAAAAATCCCCTCCATTTTTTGTTTCATATTTTAATCAAGTGCTTAAATGACGTGTGCCAGTTCCATATACTGGGCCCTACAGTGTGAACCCTGTACGTTCCACCATCAAGGGTTTGCATTAAGTGGCATTTCATCTCCCTTCAATTGGAGGACTTGAGCATGATGAGCATAAATGTTCTGATTGAGGACGGTTATACGGAAACTTCGAGATTAGATTTCATGCTGAACTTTAAATAGACTGCAGCAAATTATTTTTTTTTGTCTAACAGGTGTTCAAAAGGAGCGCTACCGCAGGTCATTCTGAGACTTCGACTTAGACAACTTTTATTGTCATTTTGTATACACAGAGTTTTTACAAAACTGAATTTCGTTTTGTACAGCTTTCAAGATATTTCCATTTCTTAATGTGCAGCAGTGATCAAATGGAAACAGTGTGGGAGGACAAAAAAAGGTGCAAAAAAGCACATTGATATGGAAGTTTAGAGCATTAAAAAATGTATGGTTCATAATGCAGTGTTTTGGTTTGGTGTTGTCAGTGTGATGCAGAGTTTGTAACATGATTTAGAGTTTTCTCAACAGTTCAGCTGCCTGATGGCAGTGGGGAAGAAGCTCTTCAAAGCCTCTTCCCAGAGGGCAGCAGGGACAATGGAGACACGCAGCGCTGGGATGAAATGTCTTTTATGGAGGGAAGAGGAGCCTTGATGATCATCTCTGCTGTTCTCACTACTTTTCTCATGTTATTCCAGTCTGAGGCGCTGCAGCCTCCGAACCAAACAGTGAGACAGCTTGTCAGAACGCTCTCTATGGTGCTTCTGGAGAAGGTCGACAGGATGGGTTCCGACAGGTGGGCTCTCCTCATCCTCCCCAGGAGGAACATACGCTTTTGTGCCCTTTTGACCAGTGAGGTGGTGTTTACATTCCAGGTGAGGGTGTGTGTGATGTGCACCCCCAGAAATTTAGTGCTGCTGACCACCTCTACAGCTGAGCTGTTGATGAGCAGTGGAGCGTTGTTAGGCCGGTTCTTTCTGAAGTCCAAGATAATCTCCTTCGTCTTCTCCACATTCAGGATCAGGCTGTTATCTTTGCATCAGTCCACCAGCTGCTCCACCTCCTCTCTGTAGTTCTGGTCGTTGTCGTCTCTGATGAGAAGACCGCTACGGCGGTGGGCCTCATCCCTGCTGCCAATCCTGCTGCTGTCAGACTTTAGATTATATTAGGTTAAATTAGATGGGCTTTATTGATCTCACAGTGGAGAAATTCACTCGTCACATATTGGCATAGTAGTTAAAGAAGGTGCAAACAAGGAGAAAAAAGGTGCATTAAGAAGAATAAACAATATATATATTTATATATACAGTATATCAAGATAAATAAGGATTAAGGTGCAAGTGTACATGTATTGCACACAGTGAAGAACAAAATAAAATAAAAATAAGAAATAAAAAATAAAAAGATTAAAAAAAATACAAGGTAGTAGCACAGAGGTTTGAGGTGACATATGTACAATCCAGATGGCTTATATACAGGTGGATTTACTTTAACATTAAAGTGTAGTAGGTAAGGTACAATGGTGAGGTAGTGGTATGACTATTATAATATAGTATATTGTATAATAATACAATATATATAGTATATATATTGTATATTTACAATATGGCACTATAACTAGGATAACTTGTGCAATAACTAATGTGCAATCACTATATATTTAAATACCTATTTATATTAATACCTCTTTAATACCATGTGCACTAATCCTGTTAAAGAAGAGACTTGATGTCTATTGGTTGTGCTGTTCTTTTTACATCTCTTTGCAGGTGATGAAGCAGACTGAAAATGTTTTATCATTATCTCCCTTTTATCTCCTGTTTCTTTCATCTTTTCTCCTTTTTTTCTGTTTTTCCTGTTCTGTTCTACTTACATTGCAGTGTCCATATAATCCGTAAAACTCCTTGCATAATTATAACGGTAATAAAGCAATTTATATGCATGAATCAAGCGGAACACTAAGGTGACAGCCCTACTGCTCCACTTGTGAAAGTAAAATCTGTTGGGCTCTTTTTGGCATCAAGACAATTATTCTTATTGCCAGACAGGACACTGTTAAAAAAAAAAATGAGAGACTTGAGTTGTTATATATATGTTTTTTTTAATATATGTATATATATGCATTGCCCCACAATGGACTGGCGACCTGTCCATACATAGACAGCCTGAGATAGACACCAGCACCTTTGCGACCCTACTTGGGATAAGTGTGACAGAACACAGATGGATGTGTGTGCGGAAGCACTGTATATACCCCATATACCTTTTCCTACTTTTTGCCCTTTCTTTTGACTATTGAACCGATATGACTAGTGAATCTTTCCACTGCGAGATCAATAGTCTATCTTATCTGATCTTATCTGTTTTTATAAGCCTTTTAAAAGTGGAGTTTCTTGTGTGCCTCAAAGAAGGAACTCATGTTTCATACATGTTCGACTGTGGATATGTTCCCTTTTGAAATACTTTTAGTTTTACATTAGATTTTAGTGGATTAATGCTTTCCAGAGAGTTTTACTTTTGTCTCATTATTCTAAAGATTATTTCTATAAAAAGCTTTCAGGATCATCAAGATGTTTTTCAATAGGCGACACACTTTAGTTGTGTCTACATTTTGATGTAGATGTTTAATATGTGGCAGCACACTTAGCAGGAGGTTAGGGAACAATGCTGAGGACAGATGTTTACTAGATAAGATAAACTAATCAGTAATAGTTGTTAATCAAAAGGTGGAACTATGGTTGCTGTTATGTAGAACTTGTCTATCAGGGACCATAAATAACACACAGCAGGCATGCATGCCATGAAACAGAAAACCACATGGTTTACTTTGTAAAAAAAAAACGGAAGTAGACACTAAAGTCATTACGTCTCAGTTTCTCACGATGTCGACTAGCCTGTTTCTGTTTCTCACTCTTGTTGGGCAAATAATGGCTAAAAAACCTCCTGGTAAGAGCTTTGAAATACTTATTTTACCTTTTATTTATACTCATATGGTTGTTTTATTAACATAACTTTGATAATCTACTTTGGGTATGCCTGAACTATAAAGTTACCACATTTCCTGAAAAACTTCTGGTAGATCAAATCAAAATGTGTGTTATTATTTATTATTATTAATCCAATTTTTACTATTACTTAACGAACAAAGCACATGCATATAAACTTTTTTCAGAGATTTTTAAATTTTATAATTTAAACAAAACGGCAAACATCCCTAAAACTGAAGGCAATGTCTGGTAGGAACTGTGGTAATAAAGCAATCTTTTGAAAATAATTCAAAGTATTTATATTTTAACTACTTATCTAAAGATAAATAAAATTATTCAGTAAAAGGTAGAAAAACCCCTTTGACATAATTTCCATGTCAAGTCCAGGTGCGATTGTACTAGTTCATGTTTGGACAGCAGTAAAATGCCATCTAAATGTCAAATGATTGAAAGCTGTATCTCTTTATCTCCTTACTCTTCCATTAGCTTATTTTCTAAATCTATATGCAAAAATGCTTAAAAAAGACACTATACAGTAACAGTAAAATAACAGTATGATATATTGAGAGAGCAATGGACACTTATGAAATTATTTCACTTGGAAAAAAAATACAACTGTAAAGCTTTAACATTTTTAATCTATTTTTTATTTTAACTTACATCTTTTGCACTTTATAGCAGAACACTTTAAAACACTATGCTATACTATATTGGTGGCCTTTATGCATTCAGTCATCCCTTTAAAAACTTTCTAAAACCACCTATGATTGCCATGATGCTTAAATACCCAAACCTTGATTATATAGTGTACCAATTCATACTAAAATTTGCCTGCTGATGTTTTTGATACTTAAAATTATTATCAAGTATCGCA